GATCCCGCATCTACTTCAGCAAAGCCGAAGAGGCAACGCACAGCAACTACCACAAACCGCAAGGTGGCAAAAGCTTCGGCATCGACCCTACGAGCTGGACTTGGTGTTGTCGCCAGGAACAGGCTGCAGCAAACCCTCTTCAACGCTGTTTTTGGCGAGGGCCCCTCGAGCGACGAGTTCATGGATTGCTTGCGCATGCCCACTCAACCTGGATCAACACCGCAAATCCCAAAGCAGGAGCAGAAAGATGTCAAGAGTTGGTTTGAAGAGCAGCTGTGGAATGTTCTGGGCTGGGATATACTGCAACAAGCTGTCGAGGCCTCGTAGCCTCTGGCTTCTCGACAATATGGCCGCCTCTGTTCGACTTGTTTCTTTCATGGCACTTGGTCCTAGTACCCTTGCTTTTAGCCCTCAGCCTGATTTGCTTTCGATTTGCTCCTTTTCTCCACACTTAGCTGTCACACGGCACAGCACCCTTCATCTTCCCTCGCCTTCATCCATCTAGCTTCAAAATTCGCACTGCATTTCCCCCCAGTACAGCTTTCGCGGCTGAATCGTCGCCGTCAAAAGCAGATTTGATTGCTGCATAGTTGCTCTTGACACTCAACCACTCGGTCTCGTCTTCATCCAAGGGTGGGAAGAATGGGTGATCAGTGCCTATGTGAGTTAGCATTTTGCAATTCGAGAAGATCTTGCTTCGACGACTTACCGAACATGAGTCTGTCTGCTCCACTTGCGTCAACGGCTGCTTTGAGTCCCACCTCTGAGTAAATCACCGCATCGAGATAGATGTTTTTCTTCAGCACATCCCACACACTCCTCATCTTCTCGAGTCTATCTTCTTTCTTCAGATGGCCATCATGCTTGATGCAGCTCTCGATTCTTCCTGCCAAAAAGGGTAGCGTTCCACCTGAATGCGCTATCAGGATCTCCAGCTCTTTGAAACGATCCCACACGCCGCTCAGGAGCATTCTGGTCACCGCAATGGTCGTCTCCAACGGAAATCCCAGCGCAAGCGGCAAGACATGTCCATAGTTGGAAGCCCACGGTCCATACACATCAGAAGGCAGGCCGTAGTGCGGATGCAAGAAAATCAACAACTGTTGCTCTTCCAACGCGGCGTAGATTGGATCCAGCGCCGGGTCGTCCAGGCCCTTCCCTAGCCCAGAAGTTCCCATGATGATCCCGCGCATGAACTTCAAGGTCTTCAACCTCTTCACCTCTGCGACCACCGTCTCTGCAGGCGCACTCAGCGGCAGCGTTCCGAACGCGTACAGCCTTCCCGAATACTGGCTGCAAATGGAATCAACCTCGTCGTTGATGCTACGCGCAGCTGCCCCCGCCTCGTCTTTTGGGAGAAAATCAAGCCAAGGATTCGCGAGCGATATTACCGATTTGTCGATACCATGGGCATCCATGAACTTGATCTTCTCGGTAATGTCGTAGTATTCTGCTCCAATGGGACGACCACGAGCGGTGCTTGGTTTGTTCGGCGCATCTTCACCAGGCAAAATGATGAGGCGAGCGCTTTCTGGTGCGTCTTCGAAATTGCGAACATAGGGCACGGTGTCGCGACCTCGCAAAAGGGACATGTACGAGGGCGGGTAGATGTGGGTGTGAACGTCGACAGTCGGCATTTTGGCGATGATTTCCTTGGTCCGCGCAAAAGGTTGGGGGTGGTATCACCGTCCAAGAATTTCAAGGACGTCAAGTTCGGTCGACAGAAGTCCGCTTTAAAATGTGTTCCTGATCACCTTCCACTGCAGGTAAGCTGTGCCGTCCAAGTGGGGTGCAGTGATTGAAAAGACGCGGACATCAGAGGGCCGACGGAGCGCACCGACAATCGGATTTGTTGCAAAAACGCCGTTATCCTTCGCGCGTCTACGTTATTTGACATGGACAAAGGGATATCGCGGGAGAGGTCGACGTGTACCGGTACCTGGAGACTCCGGACCCCGCCGTGATAAGCTCCCCGCAGTGTTATCAACCTATTTCCTGTTTGGGAGCTGGCGCGGGCTCTTCCCACCTGCGCATCCCGCCGCCGGCGCGGTATCACGAGAGCGGGGCGATATCCTCTTGCTTACACCTAGCGTGCTTTATATGCTCCAGCGCAAGGTCGAATGCGCCCACACGTCAAAGGATCACCAATCGTTTCTGGTCCCTTGACTCGATCCGCGTCTCCCGCCTTGTCAATCTGAACGACACTTTTACGCGATACAAAATTACTCCAGCAAACGCGACATTTTGATCTCAAGATGGAGAAGATGGAGTCCAAGTTTTACTATCCTCCAGAGGCGCGAAAGGCTGCGAAGCAATCGGACGCGCCTTCTGGTGTTGAGAATGGATCCGTTACTCACGAGATGGCCGTCGAAGATGACGGCCTTAAGATTCCTGTACTTACCATACCCTTCGAGTCATTATCCTTGTTTTATAGAGAAATCTCAAGAGCTGACCATTTGCTCCGTCCTAACAGCTTGTCGACTTGGAGGACTTTTACCTTACCTCGGGCGAAAAGCGCCAGGAAATTGCTGAGCAGATCCTGAAGGGATTCCAAGAGGCAGGGTTTGTCTATCTCAAGAACAGCCCAATTCCGGACTGGGCAGTTCAGTCGGCCTTTGCACACAGTGCCCGCTTTTTCGAACGTCCACAGGATCAGAAAGAAAGCCTGGCGTGGTACAGCGCAAAAGCAAACCGCGGCTATGTTGCGCATGGACGCGAGAAAGTGACGCGAGCGGACTTCGCCGGCGACGTGGATGCGCTGCGAAAAGCAGTGCCTGATCTCAAGGAGAGCATGGAGATTGGACGCGACGACGAGCCGGAATGTCCAAATCGGTGGCCCGACAAGTTTGACGAGGAGGGCCAGTTGTTCAAGAGCACGATGATGGATTTCTGGAAGGCGTGTGCGTTGCTGCACCGGGACATTATGAAAGCTGTTGCCCTCGCACTCAACGTGGGCGAGAAGTGGTTCGACGACTACATTTGCAGAGGCGACAACACGCTCCGGCTGCTGCACTATCCCGAAGTCGACAAAAAGGTGTTCCAGCGGGAAGACGGCCAGCTGCAAGTACGCGCTGGAGAGCACTCGGACTACGGGTCCTTGACCCTCTTGTTCCAGGACGACCGCGGCGGCCTGCAAGTTCTCTCTCCCAAAGGCACTTTCGTCGATGCGAAGCCGATTCCTGGGACCATAATTGTCAATGCTGGCGACCTGCTTGCCCGCTGGGCAAACGACACCATCCAAAGTACCAAGCATCGCGTTGTCGAGCCGCCTCTCAAGCCTGGACAGGAACACCTCAGCGTTTACCCGGCAAGGTACAGCATGGCGTACTTTTGCAACCCGGACTTTGACAAGGTCATCGAGACTATCCCAAGGACATATGAGAAGGAGTCGGACATGAAGTACCCGCCTGTCAAGAGTGGTGAATATCTGGAGAAACGTTTGAAGGATACCTATGGTGGTTGAGAGGAGCTTGAGATGAGTCTCCAAAAGATGGAGAGCGTTCCTTGTTCACAAACCTTGAGCGCCTATTGCAAGCTGACCTTCTGTATGAGATTCATTTCAAGAACACATCTGCCGTTTGCTGCATTTGAGCTTCAGTGCTGATTGAGGCCGCGATTTCTGCTTACAGCTATCTTCTTCCCCTCAAAGAGCAGCGCAGCCCAAGTGAAGTCGTTCACCGAATCGTCGCGCGGCTTTTAGTGTCAAGGCCGGCCCCTCCTGCCACACTTTCCCGCCGTGTCGACTTAGGTCGTCTCCTTCCAGTTCCGGTCGAACCTTCTCAACGCTACCTCAACCCACCGACCGGCCACTCTTCTCGATTGCGCGAAAAACCTTCATCCGAACGCCAAAGCCCGATGCCACTGGAACAGGCGCATGGTGTCTGCCTTCTCTCTCGTCAGTTCGAGCGCTTGGTGTTCATGACGTCGCCGGCTGTTTCCGGGGAGATCCGGCTTCTTCCGCTCCTGTCGGCCGGAACTTTTTCCGCCTCTTCACCCCAACCCCGCCTTCCCTTGCCTCCCAGACCCAACAGGTGCCTCTCTGGGCTCGTCTCTGTTCTTTTGGACCACGACTTCGAGGTATGTCGCCTTCCCTTCCTCCCCCCTCCCCCTCCCCAAATCCCACAAGGTATATATTACTTGCTAACACAATTATTCACATCTAGGCGCGATGGCTGAGTGGTTATAGCGATAGACTAGAAATCTATTTCCTTCGGGAGCGCAGGTTCGAGTCCTGCTCGCGTCGAAGGGGTGTCACAGGCATCTGCATGAGCTATCTCTTTTGCTCTTTTGAAGATCTGAACTTGGTGTTGAGTTTGGTGAAGTTTTGGTGGTCGGGGGTTGTGAAGTGAGCGAGCCGGGGCGGTTTTGCCGGCACTACTACCGCGTGAGAAGAGCGCCAAGCGATGCTGCTATGCTGTGTTTGACTTGTGGCAGATGGGCTTGTGAAAGCAATTCATCTTGGAAGAAGTACTCGAAATTTTGCCTGCCCACTTTTTTCTCCTTTTACTTCTCTCTCACTTCAGTCTGGTGCTCAGGGAGTGTGAAGAGTGAGGACAGACGCTCCTGCTTGGCTCCATATGGGCGGCACTCCAACAAGTCTGCCGCCTCGCGGGCAAGTGACCAATATCCCTCCCAGACGAAATCTCAAACTTTGCCCTCATCAATTATATCACTCCAACAATTTTTACGACCAAGATGCCCGCTCGGTACCGCAAAATGCAAACTGCATTCCAGTCGTCGATGCCAAGAAACAATGGGGTTCCCGCTCACCGCCTTTGGCGCAGTCGTTTTTGCGCACGTGATATGGATTTCGACATTTTTCTCTCGCTTCACAACCCATTTTTGCGCGCTTGTTGCACGTCGTACAACACACGCAGGACTCTCCAAAATTGTACTTATCCCAAGCGTAGTAAAAGTTCCCTTGCTCCAAAGTCGCTGCCCCAATGCCCAACTTTTTCTGTAATCATATTCCAATTGTGTACGCGATCTTGGCAGCAAAAGGCACAGTGCCAGAGTGGTTAATGGGTTAGACTCGAATCTTCCATTCGGTGTGATCTAATGGCTTCGGCCGCACAGGTTCGAGTCCTGTCTGTGTCGCTACTACTTCATCTCCTTAGGGAGATGCCTTTTTGCTCTTTTGGTGGTCAAAGTTGCTGCATGTGGGGCGCAAGGGGGGGTGTGGCGGTGTGTGGAGCGGAGGTGAGAGCGAGCGCGGCTGTCCTGTTTGCACGGCGGCCCGTTTGCTTTTGCTTGCTTTTGTTCTGTTGACGTGCGACGCCTTTGCAGCCTTATCGGCAGCTCCCATGTGTGGCGGAGGAATTCGACCAAAGCATGCGTTGAGGGGAGACCAACGGTTCTGCTCATGTCGGCCGGAGATCAGCCCGCACAAAACGAGGGCAAAACCAGCAAGGGAGACAGTCAACTGTCATCGAATTTTGCTCAAATATATCTGACAAGAAGAAACCGCAACAAAGCACAAGACGGAAACCTGTCTATCTAACAAGTACACAGGAGGTATAGTATGGAAAAAGCAAGCGGTCCCAAAGCCCAACCGTCAAACGTCATGCCAATGCGCCATCGTCTTCTTCAACATCTCGTTTGGTCCAGCTGCGGCTACTACTTGCTGCCGCCGCCACAACATGCGATTATCCGCAGCGTCATTGATGAGAAACCATGAAATACAGCGGACCGGATATACACAGGGTTGGTGGGTCGATTACTGTTACGGGACGCGCTTCTTCTCGTCGTCATCTTTTCGCGACTCATCATCGTGCGAGTCCTTGTCTGGATGGTCGTCGTCGCGGCCTGGCTCGGGAGGAGGTGGTTTCTTCAGATCGGCCTTGACGTCTTCTTTTGCGTCGTCTTTTTTGTCGCCCTTGTCCTTCGTTTTGCTGTCCTTGGAGCCTTTCTTGTCGTCCTTGGAGCCTTTCTTGTCGTCCTTGGAGCCTTTCTTCTCGTCCTTGGAGCCCTTCTTTTCATCCTTCGAACCTTTTTTGTCGTCCTTGGATCCCTTTTTGCTGTCCTTGTCGGATTTCTCCTCTTCTTTACCTGAAGGTTTGTCTTCCTTGTCACCCTTCGTGTCATCCTCGTCTGTTTTGTCGTCGTCATCTCCTTTCTTCGAATCGCCCTTGTCGTCTTTTGAATCCTCCTTTTCTGGCTTCTTGCCGTCCTTATCATCCCCATCTGCTTTCTTGTCGTCCTTATCTTCGTCGTCTGCTTTTCCGCCCTTGTCATCCTTCCCATCCTCCTTCTCCTTTCGCTCAGGTTCCACCTGGACCTTACCACCAATTTCCTCACGGTCCTCATCCTCATCCTCCGGCGGACGTTCGTCTATGGGACGTTCCTCCTCTGGTCTTTCATCCTCCGGCGGCAATTCTCCTTCAAGCGGATCCTCTTCTGGGGGAGATTCTTCAGGCGGGGGGCCTTCAGGCGGAGGACCTTCCGGTGGTGGACCCTCTGGGGGCGGCTCTTCTTGCCATTCGCCTTCCGGCTCTCGTGCCTCCGTTTCCCACAGATCGATCTCGAGCTCGTCGGTTTCATACCGGCCCATCATGCCGCCTCGATTGACCTCGATGCTTCTCAGCGATTCCTCGGTGACGTCGTCAATGGAGCCTTTCCACACAGCCTTCCAGCGGCCCTTCATTTGGATCGTTGCAGTCTTGCCCCTTTCGCGAAGTTCTTCCAATGGGAAAAAGGGTGGATCTAACACGACATCTTGCGCGCGACGATCTCCCGGACGCATTGCTAGCAGTAATTCCCACTTAGGAGGGTATTTGCGTTTAATCTCAGTCTTGTTGATGGGCATAATCTTGTCCGATCCTTCGGGCTTGACCTCAAACAGACCTAGAGGCAAGGCCAAGAAGTCGAGCGGCGAGTCCCAGAGTAGTATCGTGATGAACGAGTGGGGATGTTTGTTTTCGACAATGACCTGTATCGTTGGCGGATCTTTGTGTACTTGATGCAGGGTGACGGCGAGGTCGGACGTTGTGACAGGGACCTTAGGGCGTTCGATTGGCTCTAATGTGTCGGCCGGTTGGATCGAGTACCCCGTGTAGTACGTGAATGTGGTAAGTAGGAAGATGGCGACGAGCGCCGTGAGAAGCGGGCGCTGTCGGTAGACTCCCATGATTGCGGTGGGAGGCAGACGAGCAGCAGACGTGAGAGATGGAGAGGACTGAAGAGGAGAGATTGCGCAGTCGCGAGACAACGCAACGCGACAGAGTGGGCAAAGTACCGACTCGGCCGCGGGCTGCGGCTCTTAACTTTGGCGAAGCTTCACTAAAGAAGGATGTTCGGCGGTAGTGCTGACAATAAGGTTAGCCATTTTGGGATTGCGCAGACCAAACGACGACGGTGGTGGGTGACAAACATCTTCAATAAGACTAAGCTCTCTCTGCACGCGACCGCAAGCAGAGCATTGTCCTCGCGATTTTTTTGAAGCCAAGATACGCCGTCGAAAGAGTGGTGTCGCACCGAGAGAATGACGTCGCGTAGGTGAAATGGAGGTTGCTGGATCAGGAAAAGGTCAGAAGATAGCTGCCGACGTTCCTGAACCAAGCCGCCCGACAGTCTGTGACAACCGTTAGAAGAAACTGGCAACTAAATTTCAGAACCCGTCGAGCGTCTGGGCGCCCAGTCGAACGAGCCGCGGGGCAGGAAAGGGGGAATAAACAGAGACGGCAAGAGATGAGAAGGGCTCTGGAATCAGCAGACGTCATGATGCTCACTCTGGAATGCGTGCATCGATGGGCTAATTCAAAACTAATCAACGCCAGTCGCAGGCGTACCACAGCTGGAGCTGCTGCTGCTTCTTACCGAGTGCCGACATCGTGAGCAGTTGGCGTTCCAAGAAAATGTCGCCCGGTATGGATCCAGACCGCGCACTAATTTTCCATTTGCGGCAACCGTATGACTGGTTTGGCTACGTGGGGCACGACCAAGGCACGGAACAGGAATCTGCAGAGCGAAAGGAAAGGATGCGGATAGAGAGCTTGCTTGTCGCCGAGAAATCATGTTGAATGAGGGGCGATATGTTTGAAACACGACGACCGCGGTTGATGAGGTTGCCGGGAACCCGCGGAAAAGTATCGTTGGCAGTTGACCTCCATGCCAGTGAATACTGATCGAAGAAGCGCTCGACAAGCTTGTGTATATTTTCAACGATTTCGGAGCCGCAGCGGGAAAGACTCACAAACCCGTTGAGTGGAAAAGGGGTCGGATCAATTCTCTGAGGTGTCGATAGCGTCTGCGGAAAGCGTCTGGGAATATCCTGCCGCCTTCAAGACGAAATCGAAGCCATGCCTGTATTTGCGGGTGATCTACCGGATTGAGTCCGGAGGCTTGAATCAGGAGAGGCACCGATGCGGGGACATGATGAACGTGGCAAGAGGTGATGTGCAAAGGGGAAGTGGGACAGCAGCCTTGTAGGCCAAGCTTCTCCGATAGCAGGCACAATCCCTACCCGTTTCCTACTCCCTATGAGCCACAGCCCAACTGCTGGATGTGGCACAGCTTCACTATACAGCATTAGCAGTACTGTATAGTGTTCATTATTGTAGTGCTTTTCAATTGCACACACCTTCAGCTGCGTCCCTGGAACTGAAAGTTTTCCGGTCTTCTCCAAAAACATGCCTTCTCAAAACATTCAGATCTCAGGCAACTTCATTGCCACCCAACGACTGAGGAGATTGCATTGTCTTTGCCATGAGAGGCCAAGTGATCATATGATTCGCCAATTGAGGAGATGCAGTCTTTCGTCGTTGAGAGATTCCCTCAGGCCACGCGACTCTTCATCATCACAATCTCCCTTCCCAATGACACTCTCCTGTGGTTCTCACAAGAGATGTTTCCTCAGTGTGATTCCAGCTGGTGGCGGCCCAGTGTCTCACCATCCAAGAGGCGTGATGAGGCGGCTCTGATGTCACTCAAGATGCTTGAATAAGTGATGACTGGCCGCCGTTTGGTCCTGACAAGCCTCACCACGAACAAGTCCCAACACGGGTCGTCTGACTTGGCTCTTCAGCGATCCAACCAATCACCTCGAGTTGTATACCCTGCCATTCTTGTCGTTGGCGTTCACTTCGTCATCACCATTCAGCTGGTGAAAGCAGGCCAGCCCAAGTCTCCCTGCTCTCCACGAATGCACACACCTGAGTGGTTCATGGCTTCGAAGATCAGTCCGCTGTCTGCTGCGGCCTTTTTTTGTGGCTGGATACCCGCCAAGGGAGCGTCACAACGCGCCTAGAATATCAATCTAGAATGTGATGTTACAAAGGTCCTGCTGTCAGTTAGACGCCATTTTTTATAAGAACACTTTGCTTCTTAGACGCGCTTTTAAAACTTGCTTGCGCTCGGTCCAACTCGTTCAAGTCAAGTGTCGATCCTTACCCGTCATTCCTTTGCAGAAAAAAATTACTGTCCTTCATGTGGTTGTTAAGGCGTTTTGCCCTTGCCATCCTGGTGTCAATAGCCAGTTGTGCAATCATTAGTGTCAATAGGGACTCCCACCTCAGCGTTCAACTCGAGCTGGTCAACAACACCGAGATAAAGGCCATTGTGACCAACAATGGACCTGACAGTTTGAATTTGTTCAAGAAGGTAGAGGTCACACCACCGGAAACCTGATCAAATTGCTGAAAACGGGAAATGCAGGGGAATTTCTTGGATTCTGCCGCGGTCGAGAAAGCCGAGGTGCACTCCGCCGGTATGTTGATCGGCCTATGGAAAATGGTCGCTTGTCGAAACGGTGGTAGCTAACGCGGCGTAGATTCGCAAGTCCCATTCGGAGGGGTGCGTATTCGACCACGTACCACCGGGTTGGGCCCTGAATCATTCCTGCATCTGCCCGCTGGTGAGAGCCATGAAGTTATCTTCGACATTGCCGAGATGTACTCTCTGAGCGGCAAAGAATACGATGTTCTTTCTCGAGGTGTGATATCGTACGCAGAAGGGGATTCTTACGAAATCGCCGGAGCGGTCCCGTACGAGAGCAACATAATACGCATCAACATCGATCCGCACGAGGCCAAGAAGAAGCGAGACGTATTCCATGGCAAGACCCAGAAGCTCAAGAAGCGGTCAGTCCTCGAAAATTGTCC